AGCGATGGATGTGACCTATATGGACTTCAGTAAGGCGTTCGACGTGGTTCCACATGGTAGACTGGTTAGCAAGCTCAGATCACATGGAATACAGGGAGAACTAGCTATGTGGTTACAGAACTGGCTCGAAGGTAGAAGACAGAGGGTGGTGGTGGAGGGTTGCTTTTCAGACTGGAGGCCTGTGACCAGCGGTGTGCCACAAGGACTGGTGCTGGGTCCACTGCTTTTTGTCATTTTTATAAATGATTTGAATGTGAATATAGAAGGTATGGTTAGTAAGTTTGCAGATGACACCTAAATTGAAGGTGTAGTGGACAGCAAAGAAGGTTACCTCAGAGTACAACGGGACCTTGATCAGATGGGCCAATGGGCCGAGGAGTGGCAGATCGAGTTTAATTTATATGAATATGAGGTGCTGCATTTTGGAAAGGCAAATCAGGGCAGGACTTATACACTTAATGTTGAGGTCCTGGGGAGTGTTGCAGAACAGAGAGACCTTGGACTGCAGGTTCATAGTTCCTTGAAAGTGGAGTCACAGGTAGACAGGATAGTGAAGAACGTGTTTGGTACATTTGCCTTTATTGGTCAGTGCATTGAGTATTGGAGATCATGTTGCAGCTGTACAGGACATCAGTTAGGCCACTATTGCAATACTGCATTCAATTCTGGTCTCCCTGATATAGGAAGGATATTGCGAAACTTGAAAGGGTTACAAGGAGTTGCCAGGGTTGAAAAGTTTGAGTGATAGGGAGAGGCTGAATAGGCTGAGGCTAATTTGCCTAGAGCATCATAGGCTGAGGGGTGACCTCATAGAGGTTTATAAATTCATGAGGGGCATGGATAGCGTAAATAGACAAGGTCTTTTCCCTTATGAGAGGGACTCCAAAACTAGAGGGCATGGGTTTAAGGTGAGAGGGGAAAGATTTAATAGGGACCTAAGGGGCAACGTTTTTCATGCAGAGGGCGGTGCATTTATGGAATGAACTGCCAGAGTAAGTGGTGGAGGCTGTTACAATTACATCATTTAAAGGGCATCTGGATGGTTATATGAATAGGAAGGGTTTAGAGAGATATGGGTCAAATGCTGGCAAATGGGACTGGATTTATTTAAGATATCTGGTCGGCATGGATGAGTTGGACCAAAGGGTCTGTTTCTGTGCTGAATATCTCTATGACTCTATGACTAGAACAAATCATAAATAATAAATTTCCCAATAAATAATCCCTTAACTTCAGCTATTTAAACAGTCCCTAATGTCAACTACTCATTAACCAATGAGCTTAATGCTTTCCTGTGACATCATTCCAATATTTATTCTCAAACTTTTGAACTGTTTGAAGAGAAACTCCATGTCCCTCATCCCCTCGATCTCCTTTATCCTCTCCTGATGCTGAGTGTCCCTCGTCCCCTCAATCTCCTCTATCCTCCCCCAATGCTGAGTGTCCCTCATCCCCTCACTCTCCTCTATCCTCTCCCAATGCTGTGTCCCTCGTCCCCTTGCTGTCCTTTATCCTCTCCCGATACTGAGTGTCCGTCGTCCCCTCGCTCTGCTTTATCCTCTCCCAATACTGAATGTCCCACGTCCCCTCACTCTCCTGTATCCGCTCCCGATACTGAGTATCCCTCATCCCCTCGCTCTCCTCTGTCCTCTCCCGATACTGAGTGTCCTTCATCCCCTCGCTCTCCTCTATCCTTTCCCAATGCTGAGTGTCCCTTGTCCCCTCGCTCTTCTTTATCCTGTCCCGATGCCGAGTGTCCCTCACAGGTCCACTCTGACTGCTTCCTGAAGGTGACTATGCTGCTGTGTTTGTAAAGAAAGGAGGATCAACAGTCAACTGTGTGGAAAGGAAATGGGTGCATACATCCTGTTCTTGAATAGTGAACAATAGAAAATGGTGAAATATGTGTCGATGTGCAAAAGGAAGGTTTTGGGCCAGTGTTTTGAGAACGGGCTTGGGTTGGTAGCTGGTAATCACACACTGCCATGCAGTCGCTAACAGGCTTTGATCGGCAGACTGAGAGTAATGCTGGGGCATTGTCAGCTGTAAACACCCAGAAGCATGTTATTTATCATTATGGTAAACATGGACACCTTCAAATCCACAGAGGGGAGAAACCATTCAGCTGTGAGGTTTGTGACAAATCATTTTCAGATTCATTAGCCTTCTGCAGACATCAGCATATTCACACAGGGGAGAAACAGTTCATGTGTGAGGTGTACGACAAAGCATTCTCCATGTCATCAAGCCTCCTACGCCATCAGAGAATGCAACACAAGGCAGAAACCATTTCTGAGTGAGGTGTATAACAAATCATTTTCAGCCTCATCAAATCTCTGCGCACACCAATGCGTTCACACATGGGAGAAACTGTTACAAGTGTGAGGTTTGAGACAAAGGATTCTCGGTGTCATCCCATCTCCAAAGTATTCACGTGGGGGAGAAACTATTTACGTGTGCAATGGGTAGAAATCATTGTGTTGAGCCTCCACACACATGTTCATACCAGAAAGGTCAGGAAAGTGAAAATTCTTGCAGAGGTTCAACACACACATACCCCCCACACACCTGGCACAGGCAGTCCACTGCTGAAGTTGAAGCGGAGGGAGTTGCAGAGTGCTATTACATGAAAGATGGAGTCCTGATGAGGAAGTGGAGACCTCCTCATAGACCCATAATCAAAGAGTGGTCGTTGTCCACCAGATGGTGGTGCCACTCACGTATCATCAGTTCTTGTTATGCATGAGATCCCCATGTAGGGCATGGTGAAATCTGGAAGACTCAATCCTTCCTGAAACAATATTCGACCAAAACTACCTGCAGAACTTGCCACCCATGTCAGGCTGCGGGCCTGTATAAAATCAAACCAGCACCCCTAATGCCAATCTCAGGTTCTGAAGAACCATTTAGCTGGATGTTAATCAATTGTGTCAGTCCTTTGCTGAAAACTAGGGCTGGGAGTCACTGTGTATTGACAGTCAGTTATGACCACGAGATTCCCAGAGGCCGTCCCTTTGAGGACTATCACAGCTCGAGCAGTTGTGGAGAAACAATTTTTATGAGATACGGACTCCCACTGGAGATTCAGTCGGACCAAGGGTACAATTTTAGATCGAAGCCTTTCAGGAAATTATTGGCAGCTTGGGAATAAAGCAAATTCAATCAACAGCTTATCACAGGCACATGGGGCTTTAGAAAGATACCTTCAAACCGTCAAGACCATTTTCATGTGTATGGTCATAAGTACTTAAAAGATTGGAACAAGGGACTTGATTGCTCTCTGTTCACCACCAGGAATTTGCCAAATGAATCCACTGGCTTTAGCCCGTTTTAGGACAGAGGGCCATTAACATTGCGCAGAAATAAGCTCCTAAGTCAGAAGCCTGAGAAATTGATATTGGACTATATGCCATGTTTTCAGAAAGATATGCTAGGTGCAGGACCATTTAAAAGCATCTTAGAAACGGATGATGGAGTGGGCTGATGGGCAGATAACTGTCAGAGCCTTAAAACCAGGGAATGAATTTTTTAGAGTTATTGCCATTACAAGGGGAATTACTAAAAGCAAGATTCAGTGGCCCCTGTGAGGTAATTAAAAAGGCCAGTTATGGAACTTACCAGATTGAAACTCCTGATTGTCAGATAAAAACTCAATTGTGCCATATCAACACGCTAACAAAGAATATCATCAGAGAGAGAATGAAGAGGTTAGGGTATGCCAAGCAGTTAACAGCATCTAGGGAGGTCAGGTAGAAACTGAAGGAGAGATAGAACAGATCCAAAGTGAACTCGATATACTGAGATGAAGAAGAATTTAGACTCAGAACTTGAGCAGTGAGGT